CCAGGAAAGCCCCGCTTTCCGCCGCCATCCCGGCCACCGGCAGGTGCCACTTCCCGCTCGGGCACCGGCCGGGGAATGGACCGGAGCGCGCAGGTAGGACTCGGGGCGCAGGCGGGGGCTCGCCGGGGCGTCGGGGAAGCGCGGGGCCAGGCGCGGGGTCCCGGGCCCGACTCGCGCGGGGAGGAGCCGGCTCAGGGCGCGATGCCCCGGGGCCGCCGCGGCGGGGAGCCGGGCAGGGAGGCTGGCCCGGGTGCTCGGAAGCCCAGCGCCTCCGAACTGGTGCGGAGACATCGGCGGGGCCGGCCTCTAGGGGCTTGGGGATGCGGAGCGCGTGGGGTGACACAGGTCCTGGGCCTCGGGCCGTCGCCCCCTGGCCCGCGCACCGGGAGCTGGTGAGACTGTGGGGGAGAAAGTGCGGCAGGTCTGAAAGTGTACAGTTGGAGACGAGCTGGAGGAATCTGGGGCCGCGGCCTGCCTTCCACCTTTGGCCTCCTTATTTGAATGTCGTTGGGTGGACCCAGCCCTGGGTGCCTCCGTGCAGGCTGTTCTGAAGCTGCAAGTCTCCGGAGTTAAGTCAGAAAAGCCTCTCTCCTCGTGCTCTGCACCACGGCCATTTCCCAGGTCAGGGCGCGCGGGCACAGGCAGCTTAAATGCCCCCGGGAAGGCGTGGATGAGGACGGGAACCCGGCACCTGACAAGTATTTGTCAAACTGCCAAATAAAGGAATTCTCCGGGGATCCGATCAACTGCAGGTTCCCAGGCCCCCTTCTGTGAGATTCAGATGCAGTAAACTCAGGAATCTGGATTTAAAAACAAAACCCCAAATCTATATTTGCTATAATCAGGAGAGACCGGGACCAGGGACCGGTGGCCGATGCTGGGGTTCACAGCGCGCCCCCAGACCGGCTCTAGCCTGCTTGAGCCCCAGTCCTCTGTGAGCTGTGACCCCGCAGCTCCTCCCCTCTGGCTGGCCTCTTAGGAGCTGGAGCATTTGCTGGGACATCAGCGCTTTACTAAAACCCTAAAGTCTGTTGGGGAAACTGAGGCTTGGGTGTCCATATGGCCAGGGTGTCCCCCACAGTCAGGGGGTTCCAGAGTCCTGCAGAGGGCCCTGAACTGGGCTAGTCCAACCTGTGATTAGAGGAGGATGCTGAGGCTGGGCTGGGAGGGGCCAGCCCAGCCATTCCCTCACTCACCAGCACTCACAAGGCTCCTCCCGGCACCGCTCCAGTGCTGCTCTGGGCTCCGGTGTTTGCCCTGAGGAGGCCTCCCTCTGGGGAGGGGGGAGCACAGTGGGGGTGATCAGCTCTTCAGGGGCATGAGACCGGCCTCACGGAGCAGGACCCTGAGCCAGCCGTGGAGGAGGAGCAGAGGAGCTGGGCAGGGAAGAATGGGAGGGGGTCCGCTGAGCAGTGGGAACAGGGTGGACAAAGGCTGGGAGTGTGAAAGGCCGGTGTGGGGTGCTAGGGAGCAGGGAGAAGCCAGAGGGGGGGAAGGTGGGCTTAGCCACGTTGCAGAAGGTCTCGAGAGCCATGCTGAGGCGTAGGCCAGTGTGTCCTGCCGTTGCCTGAGCCCTAAGCGCCGCCATGCAGATTCCTGGGCCCCACCGGCCTTTGGAGTTGAATCTGGAGGGAGGCGCAGGGAAGGCAGCGGGGGTGGGGGGACCACGAGCGAGTCGCCCTGGTTACAACACACACATTTCCCAGCAGGTGTGGGGTGACCTCAGGGTTTCCACATTCAGAGCAGTGACTCAGTGCTGGTGTTTGTACCGTGGACCCCGGATCCCAGGGCTGCAGAAAGCCCAGCAGGCAGGGAGGTTGTTGCTCGGGTTCAGAAAGGAGCTGAAGTGAGGTGTCAAAGAGGTGGGAAGAGGGCCTTTCCTGGGCCCTCCTCTCCTGTCCCCTGTCCCCTGTCCCCTGTCCCCTGCCCCCTGTCCGGCCCCAGGATGGAGGAGTTTGGGATCAAACAGCTCACTGCCCTCAGCTGCTTCCCGTGCACCTGGGAGGGGGGCCCCTCGGTGCTGCGTTCCCTCATATTTGTGAAATCAAGCATCATGTTTTATAAGATACTGATCACAATTTCCAACACATAGTCCATCCATAATAAGGGTTTTTGTCTGTTGTTACTGTCGAGAAGCATAGCGCGGAGGTTCAGAGCATGGGTTCTGGAGCCACACTGCCCGATGCAGAGGCCAGCTTTGCTACTTACTAAGCAGCTGACTTCTCAGGACCCCAGTTTCCCCATCTGTGAAAGTACAGTGACGATGCCATTGCAGTGACGATGAAATGAATAAGTGTCAGCACACAGAACAATGCCCGGTACAGAGTAAGCACTATGTATTTGTTAAATATTAGGAAATGAGCCCCATTGGATGGGGGTTAGTCTGCCCGTTTTGCAGGCGAGGAAACAGAATCAGCGATGTGTGTGGTGGCCTTGCCTGCGGTCCCATGTGTAGGACTGACAGAGGGAGGGATTCGAACCTCCCTCCCTGCCCAGCCTGTGTTCTTCACTGTCCCAGTTTGCTGGGGTGACCGAGAGGGACATCTTTCCCAGCATTCCTCATGGCCGGCACTGTGGAGCCGTACCTGGCCATGTCAGACCAGACTCCCCTTGGCTAGTCTGGAAGACAGGCCGATGGCTTGCGAGGAAGGTGTATGAACTTGCCCTTGCCAGAGTGGGTGGGAGAGCCCAGCGGTGGCTGCAGGTCCTGCCGGAGCCGGCATCAGGTGGGCTGTGTTCCGTTGCTTGTGGTGTGACTTCCAGCAAGCCATTCTGCTCCTCTGAGCTGGAGGCGCAGAGAAGAGCTTGAAGGCAGGGGCCCAGGTTCAGATGTGAGCTTGCTGCTTCCTCTCTGTGATCTGGAGGCCGCTGCCAAACCTCTCTGAGCCTCGGTTTGCTTGTCAGTGAAATGGGTATATGGGGGGGGCGGGTGTCCACAAGATAATTTTTATAGGCACCTTGCCCGTGGCTCAGTGATTGCAGTTTCTGTCCCATTTAGGACAGAGTCACCTCTCCATATCCAACGCCTGGCTTCCCCATTCATTTCTTCTTCGAATGTGTATTGAGCACGTACCTGTGCGGGCAGGTGCCAGGTGCTGCCGACAGAGCACTGGACCGTCCCTGCCTCCTGAGCTTCAATTCCACTTGAGAAGACAGGCCATACCTACACACATGCTCACAGACCCCACCCTTATGTATAATTCCTAAAGCCACGGGCTCGGAAAACCGCAAGTTTTTTCACAAAAACGTCAGTTGGGTGCACGACCTGCCCTGAGCTCAGCTTGGGGCCACTGGGCCTTTGTTTCTCCTCCTCGCTGAGCGCATCCGTCCTGCAGGGATGTCCCTGTGATGGGTCCCGGGTGCTGCTCTGGACACATGGGGGGGGGGGGATGCTTCTGTCGGCTGGCATTTTGTTCACGGCGACCTTTGTATAATCGGAGGGATTCTGGCCCCAGGATTTCTCTGAGAGAACGTGGACCCGCGATGTCCTGTTGGTAGTGACCGCCCCCGAAGGAGAAGGGGAGCAGGTGACGCGGGCCATGGCCTCCCTGAGGAGGGACAGTAAAGACAGGGGCAGAGGCTGGGAGTAGAGAAGGTCTCATTCATTGCTCACCTGCTTCCGCCGCTGCTCGCCCTGCGTGGGCCGCTCGTCTCCGTGTCTGTGCCTTTCCAAGAAGCGCTGATGCCTCGGGTTCAGCTTTGGCTCCGCCGACTCATTCTCGCCCTGGGCCCCCAGGGGCCTCCTCGCCTCCAGGTGGCTTAAGAAGTCCAGGGTCTTGGCTGCAGCAGGCCTGGGTGCTGGGACCTGCTGGGCCGGTCACCAGCCGGGTTTGTGGAGCAGGTTCCTGAGGGGAGGCTGTGTCGTTCTGAGCAGAGGTCTATCGGGGGACCAGCAGCCTCCAGCCCGCAGAGCCGCTCACAAGCTGAAAGTGACGTGTCCCGAGTGCCAGCGCCGGGCTCACGGCTCGCATTCACTCAGCGAACATGCCAGGCGCTGGGGACACGGCAGCCAAGCGAGGGCCCTTGTGGAGCTGAGTCTAGTGGGGGAGGTGAGTCCGGGGGGGGGGACTTTTGGGCTGAGACCTGAAGTAAAAGACGCGCGGCTACCCTCCGGAAAAGAGTGTTCTGGAGGAGAACAGCAAGTGCAAAGGCCCTGGGGTGGGGACAGGCTCAGTGTGTGGGACCCGCCACAAGGAAGCCGATGCGGTTGGATGGGACTGAGCCAGGCGGAGCGGGCGGGGCCATGGGGAGTCAACAGGGCCGGTGCCTGCGTGGTCTCACTCCATGTGTAGAAGAGCCTTCAGAGCAGGACCCGCTCTTCTCCAGACGTCGCAGATGGAGAAACAGCACAGAATGGTCTAGTACTCGCTCAGGGTGACAGCTGCGAGGCGGCAAGCAGGGCTGCGACCTGCCGCTCCAGGGTCCTCAGTCTGCACCACTGGGTTTGGACACATCATGGAAACGGGCTCAAATGCGGAGGCCCACCTGCTGCTCTGACCACTGCTGGTGTGCCCCCTGCTGCGGTCAGGGGCCCCCGTGGGCGTGGCCAGGCCGGGCGTGGCGTTACAGACGACCATGTACCAGTGAGCCCCTTCCCCCAGACAGTGAGGACGCACCCAAGCAGAGGGGGCGGGGAGGTGGGACGGACGGTGGAGGCCCCGCTCCATAGCAGGCACTGTGCTGGGGCGAGGCGGGTAGATGTCTGGGTGCCCCCCCCCCCCCACCATTTCTCTGAGGAGGAAGCTGAGCTCAGGGTAGAGCCTTACCTGGTGGCACAACTCGGCAGGGGCAGCGTCTGGCTTCAAGCCCAGGGCCGCTGACCAGGAAGTCGTTCCCTTGCACGTAGCCGCTGTGCGGAGCCGTCCCCAGGAGGAGCAGAGGCAGGGATGGGTTTCTTGGTGGGAGATGAGGAGCGCAGGCGCTGAGAGCGTGGGGGGAGTGGAGGAGGCCGGCGGCTCCCGGAGCAGCAGGAGGTGAGGTGCCTTTTCAGAGGAGGACAGGCACTCTGGAGAGGAGAGACCAGGTCTCCGGCTGCAGCCCTCTGAGCCCACGGAGCCGCAGCCCCTGCCAGGCTGCCTGCGCGATGGAGCAGC